CCGCGTTCCCGCGAGGGAGCGAGCGCACAGCCCCGGTCCCCGCCGCGACCCCTCGAGGGAGCGAGCGCACAGCCCGCGCCCGCGCCTGCGCTCGCGCCCGCGCCGCTCGCATGCCAGTCACGTCCGCCCCCTCGGCGGCCGCCCGAGAGCCGGCCCCGCCGAGCCCAGAGAACAGACGTCAAACTGCCTTATGAATATTGATGCGGAGGCGAGGCTGCTTTCGTAGAGGAGCAGAAGGAAGCAAGATGGCTGCCCTGTAGGATTTGTTAGAAAGGAGACCGGGCTGCGACGGCGGCAGACTGAGAGGCTGAGGGACCAGAACCAGGTCAGAGCGCTGCTGTCCGCGCCTGTCTCTCTCTATCTCTTTCTCTCCCCACTCTTTTCAGCCGCGGAATGGTTCCTTTCCAATCTCTCTCTCTTACTCTCGGCCTTGCGGGGACTGTCATGTCACCCACAAATACCAAGAGGGAAGAGGGAAGCCTCACAAATTACTGGAGCTTCTTCAACATGGCTGACAAATATAGTTTTAATTCAGCACCCCCTTTTTCCTGCAACCTGTACTTCTGGGGTCCCTTCTTCCTGCTAATGCGTGTCTCCCCTCCGTACCCAGAAAACTTACCTTTGTACCTCCCACCAGTCGCTCTTCTGGCCTTTCAGTCTCAGGAAAGTGAGTGTTTTCTTGGGGTTGCCTTCCTGAAAGAGTTCATCTTTGGGGACCACCACTTTCTCTTTTGATCCTCCTTCCCCCTGTCCTTAGTGTAAGTCAAAGGAGCCCCTAGTTCATCCTCAGACACCCCGGAAAGAACACTGACCCGGTGTGTTTGACTCTTTTATCTCCAGTAGTGTTTGTTTGGGTCCTGTTCTGGGTTTGTGTCTCCCGCTTTCAGCACGTTTGTCCCCCCCACCCCCGGACTACTACACTAGACAGATGTCACAGTGAGTGGATTCAGGATCCACTACGTGGAGTTTTTTTCATTCTTTCTTTTTTCTCTCGAGTCCGCGCGTTTTGTTAGTGGCGCTGAGTGAGAGAGGAAAGAATAGTTTCTTTGCTCCCCGAAACAAGACCAGAACCCACTTTTCTCAAGGTTCACAAGCTCTGCGTGGGTTGTGCCTTCCAGTTTGGGAAATGTGTGTAAGAGAATCTGTGTACATCTCTGTGTTGGCTTTGTGCTTCCCCCCGAATCAGCTTCGTTCTGTTCCCCTTAAGTGACAGGCACACACAAAGGCAGGCGCAGGCCAGGGGAGGGGGCGGGCGAAGCGTTCTGAGTTGGAGAAGGCAAGGTCAGGGGAGCCCAAAGAAGTGAAATCCAATCCCAGCGAAGATCTATAACAGTCCGGTCCCAAATTTCCTTAAGTCTGGCTTTCACTCTTTTATTTGGTCATTCACACACACCCCTCCCCACTCTTCACTCAGATCTTGACTCTATTCCCTAGACCTGTTTGCTTACTGTTAGAAAGCTAATAGGGTTTCTATGGAGAGTTTTCTACATTTGGCTAAACCAAGTGAGGCCTGGACAAATTCTTGAGAAGGTCGAGTTAAAAGACATGTTACTTGTTTGCTAATGACTTCATGATAGATTTTGTTTGCTTTGGGCAATTTTTCTTTCTTCCGATTAATTATCTGGAATAGAAGTAGGTTTGTTTGTTTGCTTTGTGTTTCCCAAGTTGTTTGCCTAAAATTTAGCAAGATGTTGTGGTGTTTGTCTATCTGGGGAGCAGAATACATCCATAGCTTTAAGAATCACAAGTCACACTTTGCTCTAAATAGGATTATAATGGTAAAATTCATACTCAGAATTCATCAGCAAGAAACCAGCATAAGGATCAGATTACATGTTAGGGGATGTTGGGATTCACAGGGAAAATATATTGGTTTGGTTTAAGACTGTGGGTATTGTAGCTTAGCTAATGAAATCATTACATTTGCATTTTAATGGAAAGTTGAAACACTGAAGAGGAGTTACATTCTTCTCCATGTTTGTATGTGTGTTTTATAATGTATTTTGAATGCAATATAAATCACAACATAATAAATATTAATTTAAAAAAACTGTTATTAAGCAGAAGAGTGTTTGTGAAAGATTGGGGCTTAAACTTAAGATCAGTAGGGGTTGATTTGATTACAGGGTAGAGGGAAAGGCATGCCGCTGTGTAAGTCAAATTTCCAAACCCTTAGTAGTTTACTTTACAAGTCTTTCTGTTTTGGTTCTCAGAAATGAGAAATGTGGCTAAGTTTGCTTTAAGCTTGGTACTAGGGGCTCATTCACATGACCAGAGGGAAGAAACATTACTCATTCCTGAACAGAAGCAGTTCATTGGTTCTGACTTGCCCTAAAGTAGTAGAGGAAACACAGAGCTGTTTTTTTTTTCCTTCTCTCATAAATGTCTATTGTCAGTTGAGAAAACTATGGTCAATTATTCCAGCAATCTAGAATTAAAAATAAGTAATTTGTTTCACTAGTAGACTAGTGTGTCATGACTTCTTTGGTGGGCAACTTTTCAGATTCATGATATTTTATGCCCTCAAACTACATGAAAGTGTTTTCCATTCTTATCAATAAGAATGCTTAAGTTGGCTTATTCTTTATGTTATCATAGAGGCCTACTCTTTCCTGCTGGGAAGTTTAGATTCTTGTTACTTGGTGAATTTCATTTTTCTGCTGAAAACAGCTGCTAAGTAATATTATTTTAAGGGTTTCAGGGAAATTTTGTATCTTATTGAGCATTCTGAATAAAAAGAAACACTTTCTCATTTCTTAGAGAAATTATTTAAACAAGCATGGGATGGAGAGTCTACAGTAACCTTTCATTTACCGTGTGTGTTAAAGTGCCACCTAAGTATTCTAAAAGTTCTTAAGAGCTATTTCGATTGATTTTACTTTAGAAAAAAATATTAAAACAATAACAAGACTGGTACCTTTAAATGTACATTGTTTTATCAATTCACATCTTGAACTAATGAAAGAATAACCTGGAACCAGGCTTTGGTTTAGTTAAACTCACTTAAAGTATTCTTTAAGGCTCTCTGTAGATTTACTGTTTAAGTCTGTGCCGGGAACCTGGGGGATGGTGTACTTTCCATGTGGGGACATATGGCCCTGCATATTGGCATCACCAACACTTCTCATGCAATTTGCACACCTGCTTTGGACTCTTTAGGATGACTTCCCCAGTCCTCATTGGCTGCTGGGTTTGTGTTTCCTTTTGGTTTCATCTGTTGAAGCTAGAAATTCCCTATCAATTTCTCTAGCTCCACCCAGACCCTGTTGTAAGCCAAGTGCCACTATTTCCTTGTTTGCTCGACTCATTTGGAAATCCTTCTTATGACTCACTGACACATTGAAAAGAAACTCTATGTTCCATCATTACCCAAGCAAATTAACCAATTCTTAAATGAAATTGTCATCATATCAAATGTCCTAGAAATGTCTAATCTCAAGTCTGTAAGCTTAGCACTTGGCAAGCTGAGGCAGGAAGATGGTTAAAAAAAAAATTAGAGCTAACTTGGGCTATAGAATGAGACACCTCAACAAACAGACAAACAAGGAGATGATGTGAAATGCCAGTATTTTAGGCTACCTGGTATTTTATACTAGATCTGACTTTATGCTGTCATCACTCCTACTTCTTCAATTGTTATTTTAAAAAAGATTTGTTTTCTGTGTATGAGTGCTTGCTTGCAGGTATGTATGTGTACTGCATGCACACCTGGTACCTTTGGAGGCCAGAAGAGGATATTGATGCCTCTGGATCTGGGGTCAGGTTGTGAGTGCCACATGGGTGCTCCTTGGAACCCAGATCCTCTCCCAAGGGCAGTGAGTGTGCTTAACTGCTGAGCCATCTCTCCATCATCAAATCTCATAATCTTACACAGCTTATGACTTGAATACATAATATAATTGTTTCTTCAATGGGACAGTATTGATTCATTAAAATTATGCTTTCTCAAAGATTATGCTGCCATTGAATAGCAGTTCCTAGGAGGAACAGCAGAGCAAAGCCAGCAGCAGGAAAATGTCTTGAAAGCCAGCTTTACAGTTGGAGCCTTAACTGTGGGACAGTCTAGTTGCCAAGCAGAGCTGGTGGTTATCTTGGAAACTGTGCTGAAGAACACAGCCACGGTGGTTTTTGCCAAACACACATTATTTACTTGGGTCTAGCGCTCTGGTTTTTATTACAGTTTGCTGCCAGAACTAAGTGAATACTGTGACATTATTGAATGAGGTTATACAGTGCATCTGTTGGTTTTATGTAGGGTCCAGCAGGGGAGGAGGGGCAGCCAGAGCATGTGTATCATTGTGAGCACCAGCAGGAAGACTTGTGTTCACTTTGTGCTTGCTTATTTTCAAGTTATTCTGACTATAAAATGGACATTGCAGAAAATTCCAGGTTTAAGATAGATATATCATCCTTCTCAATAGAGTTGACCTTGAGTTGCCCTTTCCAATGTAGCAAATTCTCAGTTTTGACTTTCTCCATGTGTTATAAAAGGTATTTAAGAGATTGGAAAGAAGGCTCTGCAGTTAAGAATACTTTGCTCAATCATAGGGATGGGAGTTTGAATCCTACTACCTACACTGAGTGGCTTACAAACACCTATTAACTACACGTCCAAGGATTCCAACACCCTACTTCAGCCTCAGCAGACAGCTGAATCTTAGGCTGGATGTGGTAGCATATGCCTTTGATCCCAGCATTCAGAAGGCAGAGGCTAGCAGATCTTTGCAAGTTTGAGGCCAACTTGGTGGACATAGTGAATTCCAGGATATCCAGGGTTATCTAGAGAAGCCCTCTCTCAAAATAAATAAAGAAATATTTAAAAATGGAAAATCTCAGATCAGAAATGTATAGGCAAAAAAAGTATTTAAATGTTCTATGCTTTAGCAAGTAGAATGGTAGGTTTTAAATATTTTTGGAAAACACATTCAATAATTTTAACCTGCAGGTTTTTTTGTTTTGTTTTGTTTTGTTTTTTTGTTTTTCGAGACAGGGTTTCTCTGTGTAGCCCTGGAAAACCTGCAGTTTTAAAAATATGTTTTCTGTGTTTATTGTCTTTCTATGTGTATTTCTCTGTACAGTGCCAGCAGATGCCAGAGAAGGGCATCATCAGATCCCTTGGGACTGGGGTTACAGAAGATTTTCATCTACCACATGAGTGCTGGGAACTGAACCCAGGTCTGGGAAGAGCAGTCAGTGCTCTTAACTGCCCAGCCATCTCTTCAGCTCTAGTTTGAGATAAGGTCTTGCTGTGGATGACCTGGTACTTACTGTACAACCCAAGCTGGCCTCAGACCTGCTGCAGTCCTCCAGACTCCCATCTTCTGA